TAAAATAATAGAAAAAAATAGTTTAAAAACTAATTTTAGTTTCAGTTATTTCAAAAAAACAAGTTGCCAACAGACATTGATACCCGCAAATATTTTGCTGATGAGAGAGACCTTCCCAGTAATAGGTATTTATTGGAAAGTTTATATCGATTTAAATATTAATATGGTTATATTATTATGGTTATATATATTTAAATATTAATATGAAATTAGAATTAAGATACGCATTTCAGTAGCAGGAAATAAACATCTATCTAACAGAAATAAATAATTTACTATATTTTTTAAATATTATTTTTTGGGATTTTATATTTATAAATATTGAGTAATAACTTTTGTTAATATGTAGTATGATATTAAGATTTAGCTACTGGAATATTTACTTTATATTGAGTATTGCTTATACAGTGTCCCTAAAATTTTGACAAAGCGCTTGTGTGCAGGTAGAGCGGACTAAACTGAATCGAAAAGTCCTGTACTATTTTGCAATTTTCGCAACAGTTAACGAGTTATTAATTACTGAAGATCGCCGAATAAGCGTGTATCCGTCCAGTCTACCGCTGAGCGCTTTGTCAAAATTTTAGGGACACCCTATACATAACATTTAAGTATGCGCGCGCGTGTGTGTGTGTGTGTGTGTATTCATTAATTTTCTTTATCTATAATAGATGAAGATTCCAATATTCCAAAGGACAAATGCATTCATTCCAAGGACTTTGTTGAATTTGTAAAAAAAAAATCCACTTACATTATTTTGAAATGTTTCAGAAGTCTAGAATTTGAAGAGATTGAAAGCAGAATTTTTTCAATTTCTTTAAAAAAAAATAATCTTAAGAAGAATTGGTTGAAAGAGAAGGAATTGCCATTCTCTTCCAACAACGTGGATGATCAATACTTGGATGGTATTGAAATAAATATGTGAGTTTGACAGATTATACAGCTTTTGTGGAAGTTCTTTCAGATTATACCGATTATATATATGAAAATATATAATATATATATATTATATATATGAAAACTAGAGATGACAATATGAAAATTCTGTTGTATGCACACACAGGTATGTTCTCTCATTATTATTAAAAATATGGTAAGTGTTATAGCATTATATTAGACCATTATGATTAAAACTATTTATAAATTATATTTTAATATTAATAAATAGAATATTAGATATGTGCTACACACATCAGAAATATGTATCATACATAGATACATATGATTATGGATATAAAGTTGATTTAATTGAGTTTGATTTTATAAATAAGAAAAAAAAAAGAATTTCTTTCGTTTTATCGTTTACTGAATAAGGATCTATCATTAATATATAAATTATCTGCATATTTTTCATAATTTCTTTTTTTTATACTTATAAATTTGATTTTTGGGATAATATATGCAGTGAAAAATAAGTATGAATGTCTTAATAATTTTTCTACTTTTTATCTATTATGTTTGCGTCGAAATATTATGGATATAAAGTTAAATATATATATTATGGATATAAAGTTAAATATATATATGAATATAAAGTTAAATATATATATATATTATGCATATAAAGTTAAATATATATATTATGCATATAAAGTTAAATATATATATTGTGGATATAAAGTTAAATATATATATTATGGATGTAAAGTTGGATGTATTATGGATATAAAGTTGAATATAATGTTGATTGATTTTCATTTTATCAGTATTTATTTTTATTTTTTATTTTATCAGTATCTGATTTTATATTTTATTTTTTTATTAGTATCTAAAGAAGAAAATTGCATCTGTTTATATATCTGAATAAGATAAATCTCTGTCTATATATACAAATTACCATAAAATCTCTTTTTTGACAAATTTATTCAAATTTTTCTATTTTTAATTTAAATATTTATTATATAATCAATCACATTTGTTTCATATATTATACATCACAGACAATAATAATTTGTTATAGTATATACATAGTATAGTATATATGTATATATAGTATATACATAAATAACAGCAACACAAAATATTTCATTATTTATGCTAATAATGCCAAATTTATACAGGTCTCACAGATCAATAAGATATCAAGATGAACGTCGAATAACTAATAATTATGAGCACAAGAGAAGGTAGTTACAATTAATTCATTGATAAAAATGAATTTTAAATTTTATGATACACTCTATATAAAATTAGTTATATGAAACAAGTGTTTTTTTTTTAACTTTTGAATTAATTACAGATTTTTTTATTTAATTCTTATACACACACACACACACACGCACACACACGCACACACACATATATGAAGAGTAAGTTTTTCCTCTGAAAAGATATAGAATTAATCTAAAAATTAAAGGGAATGTTTGTGTATATATATAAGCATATATTACAATTTAGTAATAATAAAAATCTTACCTGTTCTTTAAAAATCTTTAGAAATAGTATAGAAACAAACGAAGTAATAGCTCTATCACATATTCCAGACATCGAAGTAGGTCGAAGAGTAGAGAAGAGAAAGATAAAAATAAAAAAAGGGATAGAAGCCACAGTAACCGCAGTAGCCATGGTGGCCACAGTAGCTATAGAAGACGTAGAAGCCGTAGTAATCACTGTAGTAACAGCGTAACATTCATCGTTAAGGATCGATCAAGTTATCAACGCAGGTATGAAACAAAGTTGAATGCTTGTACAGGATACAAAGAAGACAAGAAAAAGTAAAAACAATTTAAAATTGAAAAAAATTTTGATCTCAATAAAAGAAGCCCTAGTAAATATACATGACTATTAATTGATTATGTTTAAAAATCTTGTAATTAAAAAACTACAGTTTAGATTAAGAAATTACTGATTTTTAGTTCCTATTATTTATTTTTTACAAACTTTTTTTGTATAGTAGTTTGGAACGTAAATTTCTCTATATTATAATAAAATAAAACAATTTTTCTGATATAATAAGGAATAAAAATAATTTTTTTTGTGTTTTAGGAGTAAAAGTAGTTCACCAATGAGCAGATATGTGAGAGCAAAAAGAATAGACAATTATACGAATCAATCTTCATTCCAACCTTTGTCTCGATCTCTGTTTCGATCTCCATCTCGATCTCCATCTCGATCTCCATCAAAAAATGATCCTAATAAATCATATAAGCGAAATGATCGTGCATCTTCAGACTATCCCATTCCAAATTTACCGATTTTCCCTTCAACTTACAACCTTGCAGCTTACAACCGTGTAAGTACAGCTAGGTTCGATGTATTATTAATTTAACAAAAGTTAATAATACATTTGCTGAACATTGCTTAGAATTTCTTGATATTGGCAGAGCACATATTAAAGAATTGATCGATTATTCGAAATAACACTGAATGATTCATTAGGTATTTAGATCGTACAAAGTGACATTTGTTTCAGTTTCTTCCCAGACCATCGCAGATGTTACCACCTCCTATGATTTGGACAAGACCTTATCCCATGCAATACCCAGTATTACCATCACCTATGATTAGATGGCCAATGCCTCCTCCCAGTAAGTTTGCATATTGCTAACTAAGAGCAAGATTATCTAATTTGAATATCTAATTATACTACAAAATTCTGTATTTTAGTCTTTTTCATCTATTTTGTTAATTCTATATCCATTTTTTAATTCATTATCATCAGAATTAATTTGTTTTATTTCCACTAAAGTCAAATTTATTAATCCATTTCATTTTGTTATTCTCAGGGAAATTCCTCCCCTATATTCTTTTTTAATCTTTTATTGTACGATTGATAAGTATTAATAATACTGATATATATTTATCGACTATATTAT